TGGGCCCTTCCCCTCCCCCCCCCCCCGCCACCAGAGCCTTTCACTGCCATGTGTAGCTACACACCTCAGTGTTGATGCAGCTTGCGTTTGTCACTGCATGATGTAACTATGTGTATCCTATAGCCACCAACACTGTTAGACAAGGCTTAAGTGGGTTGTCTTAATTTTATTGAACCATTTCTATTTATCCCTGGCTACTGAAATTATCCTGGGTAAGTAGGTCTGCTTTTATGTTCTTGTGGTACACATGCAATTAGTGTATCACATTTAACAGGTTTTCTTTCTAAAACACTGCTGTAAATCAAATTACATTGCAAATTTAGGGACAAATGAAGTCAATGGATTAGTGCATGTTCACACACTGGCTGCATTTTGACCCTTATATAATGTGTTTTCTCATGTAACCTATTTAGCAATCATATTTTATTGTTTGGAACATGAGAAATTTTGTTTAATTTTTTTTTGAAATATCTTAATTTACATATTTTGCAAACTGAGATTGTGAAATAGTGTACAGGAAGTATATTCTTTTGGCCAGCAGCTATTCATCAGGTACTTACGTGATTTAGCATTGCAGTGTGTATTTAAGTCATAGCTTTCTCTGTGTATGTTTTATTTCTTGTTACAGTTTGTCCCAAATGGGCAAAACTCCGTAAAAACCACAAGGAGAAGAAGTCTGTGCTGATGCTGATCGTCTGCAGTTCTGCTCTCCGTTGTTTGGAGCTCATTAAGTAGGTTGAGAGCAAATGTGATGTTGAGACTGGCACCTGGTCAGAGGTTTTGTCTGGAACTCTAAACACAAAGGCAAAACTGGGACACTGTCCTTTGCTAGCCAACACAATTACAGTCTCGACTGATGCAATGGCCTTCATTCCTCCAAACCATGGTACTGTGGTATTTGGGTTAGGCTAAAGTAGAACTTAATAACTTAGCTGCACTGATCTACTGCTTTTGTTACAAACCAAAAGTAAAGTATAGTTGCTCTTAGAAAGATATACAACCCTATCACGCTTAAGAACAGATTAAATGCATAAAGATGCATAGCTCAGCACTACCATTTCGATTGCAGAGTCAGGACATTTTCATTGCAAAGTTCAACAGAAACACAGTGATCTAGAGCTTGTGTAGACCAATGCATCTGTCCTGTATTAGTGTTTCTCAATCTTTTCAGATTGGCAACCCCATATTCACCATTATTTTCATGACCCCTCTCCCCCTTGCATTTACTAGAAAAGTAAAAAAAAGTAAAGAAAATGTAGCCATGATCATAGATTGTAATACATTTTTCAGTGCCTCATATCTCGGCCCTACTTGGCTTTTGTGGGCTTGCTGCTCCTCAAGGTCACAGTTCATTGGTTAAGAAACATTAGTCTACCTGTATGAGAGGGGTAGCATTCTCTCTGACTGAATTTACTTTAACTCTGGCCTTCCTCTTGATTGGTACTCCTTTCTTTTCATGTGCCTGTATATTTATAATGGCTCCCATGTACTCTGAACAGCTCTGGCTCTTATACACCATCTGAGTAGGGCTGAAGAAGACACTTTTGCTTTCCTTGTGCCTTCTGAAGCCTTGGAAATCATTTATTGTTTGATCAGGAGTCAGGAAGGCTGCTATCCTTAACGTACCACTTGACCAGGACTAGCAGACACCAGCCCTGACCTCTGTACACCCTGCTGTGCTCAGGACACTGATGTAGTAGCCCCCTGACAGAACTCGAAGGAAAGCAGTCCTGTCCCCCCATCACCCTGCCGTGCTCTGGACATGGAATGACACTTCCTGGCCAGGAACCCCTTTCTTCCTTCTCAGCTACCCCTAGTAGGAGGTCAGTGTGGAAATTGAAATTGTCTCCTTTTGGAATTTTGAAATTTTTTACTCCCCAGTCACCTGGAAATGTGCCTGTTTCTTGACCAAAATGAAGCAGTCAGACATCAGTGTGTGCTGAGTGAAGGTTGAAAGATCCACTGTATCTCTGTTCCCTTGTGCTGCTGCCTTAAAATAAGTTCTCTCTCTCTGGCAATCACTCTGTATTACTTGGCAAATCCTGCAATTTGTAATGCCCTAGAAACTGGAATAGAACTGTCCACATTGTTCATTCTGGCACCACGCACACATACTCAGCAATGGGGCAAATTGTCACAGCTTCTCAGCCTAAGCCTCTGCATCTCACATCTTGGCATCTCCAAACAAGGGGATTAATTGAGGTGGCTGGCAAACTTGTGGGAGTCATATTCTTTCCTTTCCAAACGGATGGACAGCGGTCTCCAGGGGAGGACTGAACCTGGAAGCATTTGAGATCACATACTGATTTCCACCTTGAAGATGGAATTGGTTTACCTTTGCCCTGCTACCTCTCTTTTCCTTCACACCTCTTCCACTCAGTGTATTAAGCCAAGGCAGTTTTGGAGATAGAGCAGGCTTTTGCCCCTTACTATGACCTGGACATCACAGGGCAAAACCCTTTGTATTGGCTGCTTGCTCCGAGTGGCTGGAAACTGCTTTCTTTCCCCTATTCTCCCCTTGTACTTGATTAGCCCACAATACGTCATGGAGTGAAGAACAGAGAAACACAGTGCTGGGTTGAGGGTGTGCAAACGATGGTCATGTTTCCTCTCCTGGCTCTAGACTTCAAATGATGACAGCTGAATCTCAGCCGTGTTTCAAAATTTAAAAAACTTTCTAGTCTTCTTTGTTGTAAAGGAAGATCTTGGGGGCATTGTTTTCTTCCTGAATTCAGGAAAAAGTCTGTTTCAACGGGGGCTTTCTAAGCTCCATACTCATTTTCTCCTGCTGAGTTTATTATACAGATCGTGACATTTTCTATACGTAGAACCATGCCCCAGAACAGAGGCTCAGGACACAGGTCTGGTCTTCTGATAAACAAGTTGTGGTCCACAAATCTTGAGTGTGAATCTCAATATTACTTTGTGTAGTAAGGGTTAGGACAGGCCAGAAGAGATGATTTCTCCAATAATTGCATTGCATAAATCATAATAAAACCTTAAATTTCCAGTTAAGAATGCTTTCTCATATGCCTATAATTCAACATTGTAATTGTTCTTGTATTTAAATCTGGCAATTGATTAGTCAGTAGTCTTGAAAGAAGTCAGTTGTAGAAGTACATGTCCTTTACATATTACATAAATACCTCTATGCGACAGATACGTAGTCATCTCTCTTAAACTGTACCCTCTAGTATGTATGTCCTGTTGTAGCTCTTTATAAGTACCAAATAGATGTAAATAATAATTTGTTAGGAGCCTTTCAAAGCTCAGATAGGAGTCAGTGGGAGTTGGGCACCTAACTCATTTAGAACTCTTGTCTTAAACACTGACTTAAGTTTTGATTCCCTCTTGTGCCGACTGTCTATTCCTAATATGAGTTTTAATATGTGAGCTCATTTTTTAATTTATCCTCTGGTAGGTCAATGACAGCATTCAAAGGAGACTGCAAAGTTATGAAATTGTTTGCAAAACACATAAAGGTAAGCAACTTCAGAGCTAGTTTTGATAAAAATGGGTCTTTTGACATTATAAGGATATTTTTCATGCACATAGCTTCCTCTCTGTACCCCAACAACACAGTGCTGGGCATTCAACCAAGCCATTCCTCTGCTCATTCCTCAAACTCTCCTGTGTGTGTTTGTGCCACGTGAGCACTTACATTATGATCGGAACATCAGTAACCTGTATAATCTGCATGGTACCCAGGCAAACATTTTGTGCCTCAAACTATGGATGTGAATGACTAGTAGACTAGTTGCTTCTCCTCCCCTCCTATCAGAAAGAGGCAGGAACGGGGGGTGGGACGAGGAGGAAACAAGAGGGGGTGCTTCAAAGCAGTAGTGCTACGTGGAGCCCAGGGCCAGACCCTGGGCTCCAAGCATCACTGCCACTTTGAAATGCTAGGGGGAGCACGGGGACAGCAGGGGACTGTTTGAGTCCCCCGCTGGCCCCGTGCTTCCCGCAGCGCTTTCACTGAGGCTGTTGCTACATTTCAGAGGTGGGGGCACACTTATCAACTAATCAAATAGTCAATGCAAATTGTATCAACTGTTCGATTAGCCGATTAATCTATATTTAACATGCGTACCCCAAACCAGCCTCTGATTTTGTGCCTATTTAAGAAACCCAAAACAGTATGTGTATATGTTTGCGTTCACAAAACAATACCCTCACCCACACTCATGGACATAAATCGGAGAATCAGATGCTCAGCTACCCAAAGTAAATGCCTGTTTGAGAGTACAAATGATGGGTGTGTTTTGCAAGCAAGGAAGTAAGGAATGGTGAGTGAAAAAGTTGTGTTCTATATAAATATCATCAAACAGGTGAATGTCACACACAGTATATTTCATCCTTCTCCAGACTTTGGCAGATTAGTGTGAATCCAGTTGTGCACTTAGTTCTAGAAGTCTGATTTATTTGTGGGGAGGCCAGTGCTATTCAAACCTCAGAAAAAGAGCTTGAGGTGAGATTTTCAAAGGTACAACTGACTGAATTTCAATGTTTGACTTTCAAAGGGAGTTGGACACCTCACTGCCCTTGGTGCTTTTCCCCTGTATGTATCAGTTGTACAATCTGAGAGATGAACAATATGTGTCTGACTGTCTTAGTATGTTGTGCTTTAGCTGCTACACATTAACTGCCCACGTGGATCCCGCTACCACACACTAAAAATTCCTAGTGTGCTTACAGAACTCTTAATGCATGGTAGCAGAGCCCACCTGGATAGATTTGTGCAGTGTTCTAGAATACTGTAGATTATACCCCAGCTTGCTGTGCACTACTCCCTATATTTAGACCTATCTTTACGTAGTGTTTTAAGAGGAGTTATTGGGATATTAGGAGTTTACCTCCAATGTGGAATAAAATGTTTTTAAAGAGGGAATCCTAAACACTTGAGGGATTGCTGATACAATATTTTCTTTGTCTGTCCTTGAATTAGATAAAGGAACAAATGCACATGCTGGAGAATGGTGTCATCCACCTGGGTGTAGGAACACCTGGAAGGATAAAAGCGCTAGTAGAGCAAGGTAAGAGAAGAGGCTGCAGTGGGCTCTGGTAATGGACATACTGAACTTGGCAGAATAAGTGAAACTTCAATGGAATTTGAAGGTTTTGGATGAACCTGAGCCAGTGAATTTGGGGATCAGCTCTCTCAGATATTGCTCGAATGCTGGCCAAGAATATAAGGTTGAAAAATCCAAGAAGCCAAACACATTGACTTTGACAAAAGGAACTGAGTTGTGCATAATTCAGAATTAAATTCAAGCTTTTAATGAAGAAAAAAAATCTAGATTTGACAGGCATCAAAGTCTTGAGTAGGAATTTAGTTTCCCTGGGCTTGTCACCAGTATGGTGCTAAATCAGCACCGCTGCAATCAAAACAATGGCATTGATTTAGCAGATCTGGTGAAGACAGGATAAATCGATGAGAGAGCGTTTTCGTGTTGACTTCCTTAATCTACCTCAACAAGAGGCAGAAACTATGTTGACAGGAGAGTATTTCCACTGACGAAGTATGGTGTAATCACCATGTTGAGCCCATGTGAGTTACTTCACTAAGTCGACTTATGTCTGATAACTTACGTTGACTTAAGGTGTAGTAAAGACAAAGCCCGTTTCATCATCCTTCTCTTTCCCAGTTCTAAGATTTTTTTTCTCCCATATTTTTTTGCTTATCAAGTAGATATTTGCAATAAAAACAAAATGTAGTGAAGATTTCACAAGATACTAACCATAGTCCAGTCATGATGGTTCCTTCTTCAGGTCAATTGGCCAAGCTATATCCTGGTTGAGGGTGAGGGCTGGCTCTGGCATGGGACTCCACTGTGTCTCCCTCCAGAAACCACAGGAACAGCAAGATGTTTCAAGGTTGCTATGTTTTTGTTTTTAACAACAGTGTTACAAAAACTCAACTCAACACACATCATACAGCTGATGTTGCTGCATCGGCCCAAAGATATGTCAACAGGAAAGATGGCAGGCCAGGACCAGAAGCTGGCCGTGTGTTCTTCATGTCTAGGGCTGTTTGATAGTTCAGTACTGCAGTGGGAGGTTATTGAGAAAAAGCTAGTGAAAAAAGTTGTGGGCATCACCAGCTAGATAGGGAAGAGTTAGCAGAGCTGGCAGAGAGTCATTTCCTAAAGAACCAGCTGCCGCCTTGTCTCCTGTCATTCAGATGGAAGATGATCAAAGCCCTTCACAATACTGCTGACCTGAAGCTCGTTTCGGGCCTGATTGTGCAAATTGCTGAGCATCCTTAGTTCCCACTGCGTGGTTCTTGCTGGCTCATGTCCTTATAATTTACCAGCTTGTCGTCAGCCATGGAAATTCAACTCCTGTGGTTTCATGAAGAGGAAGTCTGGGGAATTCTTTGCAGGCAGGATATTAGCTCTTGGCAAGCTTGGAAACAGCAGTTGCTTTGTTTTTGTGTTTATCTTCTGGAAAAGTAATGGGATTATGTGTAAGGAAGCTAAGCTTGCAGTGTCACTGCATCAGTTTTCTAACCAGCAAATGTGGTGCATAATGTTCAAAGACGTGTTGCCCTGGGAACAGGCAGCAAAGGATGAAAAAGACAAAAATCATGTGGATAAGCACGTCATGTTATCTGTATCATAGTAAGACTTGTGTTGCCCTTTCAGATGGCCTTAGCTTGAACTCCTTGAAGTATCTCATTTTGGATTGGAACTGGAGAGATCAGAAGTTGAGGAGGATGATAGATATCCCTGAGGTACAGTATGGCCACCTTTCTAAAAAAATGTTGTAATTATTTGAACCTTTCTGTCTAGACATGGTTAATGCATGAATCCTGGGAAGTCAGGATTTTCTTCTGTTCAATGGACTTCTTTCCATTTGAAATGAACTTCTGACATCAATTCTCAAGGAACACAAAGGAGTTAGCATTTCCCAATCATTCGGCACCCCCCGTGTCTCCAGCTCAGAACTGAGGAATTTTGTTTCTTCATTCCACATCTCATGAGCATCAGTAAACAGTGCCAATTAGGGATGTAAAATCCCACTTAATTAGTTAACTGGTTAAATATCAAATTCAACCAGTTAACTGCTTAAATAGGATCCTGTGGGTGGGGAGCTGCTTCAACCCGGCCAGGCCGCTGGTTAACCGATAACTGTAACCTAAATTTCCCTGGCTGTAATTTAAACCTATTACTTTTTGTCTGTCCTCGGTGATAAAAGAGAACAATTTATTGCCTTTTGTAACAATCTTTTACATACTTGAAGACTTTCAGCAAGCTGCTCCTGGGGGGAGAGATTCCATAAAAAACTGGAAAAAAAAAAAAAAAAGGAAATAAGATTGAGCAATTTTTGAAGACACATTATGTGACCCCAAGATGGAAGGAGCGCTCCCTAAAGACTTTCAGCAAGCTGCTCCTGGGGGAGAGATTCCTTAAAAAACTGAAAAAAAAAAAAAAAAGGAAATAGGATTGAGCAATTTTTGAAGACACATTACGTGACCCCAAGATGGAAGGAGCACATTGGCCTGTTAAGTCACACTACAGCAGGGGTATGGATTCTAAGGCCCGAGGACCAGATGTGGCCCCTTGCATGCCTCAATCCAGCACCTGAGGCTCAACCCGCCTCCCCCGGGACCAGATGTGGCCCCTTGCATGCCTCGATCCAGCACCTGAGTCTCAACCCTCCTCCCCCAATATTGGGGAGCCCATACTGGTGCTCCAACCTCTTCTCCCCCCCCCGCAGTCCCACTGCAGGGCTGAAGCAGACAAAATTTACTAGACTGGGCCCTCCCAAGCTCTGGTGTGCGAGGAGAATGTGAGGAGTGTCTTTCTCTTTCTCAGTTGGGGGTCACATCAGTGAGGGTTTGGGACTTTTGGTTTTGGTTTGTTTTTTTGCTTCCTGCTTGTGTGTGGGCCCCAACTAATTTTTCTGTGGGTCAGCGGTCTCCGATTCAAAAAGGTTTCTTATCGCTGCACTACAGCCTCCTCTAGAACAATATGGCACCATAAAGCAGCAAGTCATACGGTCCTGTAGGCCACCGGTAGAACTTTTTCCTCCTCATGATTCCATGTGCTTCTCAGTGGCATGTTGTAGGATTCTCATTCTTAAGTGTGCGTATTTGTGCTGTTTCACATGTAGTAGGCTATATAGCTAAGTAGTATTCAGCCCAGAGAGAGAACTCCCCACTAGTCTCTTGAATCAGTATGAGAAGGCTACCTCACTCCTATGCATGAATATCTCTAAGGTGCCACGGGACTACTTGTTTTTAAAGTTACAGACTAACAGGGCTACCAGACTTTCTAAGCAGCCAGTACCTGAAGCCTCCAGAGAATAATCTGTTTGGCACAGAACACAGACTTTTTCACAAGGAAGAAAATTGTCCCAAACCACACCCTGCTCAGTACTTTAACATATTTTAGTGTGTGTAGAATCACATACCACCAAGTGAGTAAAGTTCATGCTCCAGGATGAACTACAGTGTCTGCTAAAATACCTTGAAAAAACAACTAGCAAAGTGAGTAGCTTCACTTAGTGAAGCAAAGAGGCTCCCCCTTGTGGTAAATCTGTAGTAGACCTCTCAACCTGTGAGTTTGATAGGAGTACTTGCACTGAAACTTGTAAGGATATTGATAGAAATGTAGCCGTGTTAGTCTGGTGTAGCTGAAACAAAATACAGGACTATGTAGCACTTTAAAGACTAACAAGATGGTTTATTACAAAGATAGCTTCCCCAATTATCACCTCTAATACTATTAACTCACAGACATCTACCCTTCCCCACCTCTAATATCATTAACTCACTGGCATTCACCTTCCTTCCCCCCTCCCCGCATCCCCCTTCTGTTCTGAAATGTGATTTGTCCTTTTCATGTGTGTTCATTTTTTTTAAATTGTATCCTTTGGTATATATGGCTGTGACTATTTTCTTCCACTATTTGATCTGAGGAAGTGGGTCTGGCCCACGAAAGCTCATCATCTCATAAACCATCTTGTTAGTCTTTAAAGTGCTACATAGTCCTGTATTTTGTAAGGATATGTAAGTTAGTTGCATACTGAGGAATAGATCACAGAAATGTTAGCAAAGGGCATGGTACAAAGCTTTATGATTACAAAAAGCAATACAGGCTTATGCGGCATACAGATGGACTAGGATTTCTGTGAGTTAGCTGCAGGCAGTAAACTGCAGATTCTGGCTGATCTGGCTGGATGTGAACCAGCACTATTGCAAACCTGAGACTTAGGCTTCCTAATCATTCCTTACAGCAGTAGCAAAATAGTGACTCTAACTTTTAGTTTGCCGACAAAAAATAGTGTAAACATTAAGAATACACAATTAAAAGCTTAGGAATTGTGCAAGTTAAGGATGAGTATGTAACCCAAACTGTGCCCTTTTGTGTACCTTTTGCATTATGAAATACCCTTCAATCATACTGAGCTATTTCTCAGATAACACAATATATAAGGTTTTTCCCCTCAACGACTCTGATTTATGTATGTGAAGCATCTTGTGGCACAGTGTTTGGTTCTACAGAATATACTAGACAGAGTCCAGAAAATTGTATCTTTGGAAGGCTTTAGTAAACTGTACTCAGATACCAAATAACAGATAAAATCTGATAAAAAATCTTTAATGAATTACATTAGATGCTGGCAAAGACAAAACTTTACACTTGGATTAAAATCTCATTGAGCCAGGAATCTTGTTCTGCTACTTGTGTAAAATGTCAAGAGCACTATAAATCATTCTAAGTAATAACATGACGATGCCTGATTTTTAGAAATGGCTTCCAGTTTTTGAGCCTTCAAATGATCACACAACTAATTGGGTGTCCAGTTAAGTGAAGGTGGAAGTGATGATAAAGGTGTAGCTGCTAGCAATTCAATTAGCAGACTTAGTCAGATGATGTGCTAATTCTTTTGCATCCATAAATAATTATGGATGAAAAATTTCACCAGTACAGTTGTGGACTAGGCAGAGGCCCTTTTACAATATAACCATGGTGGCTTCTTCAGTAACTTGTGCCTGCAGAATAACTTTTGGTTGCATAGAGTTAACAGGATGACTTACTGCATCTTATTGCCAATACACAGTACTGTTTGTTTAAATACATAGAAGCCATTGGAAACATACACACACATTTTTATAGTAGGGTATGGAAAACTCATAACCTGATTTTCAGAGGTGTGAAGTACCCACAGCTCCCACCAAATGCCCATTTACTTCATTTCTAGGAGGGAGTGGAAAAGGCAGCAGAACAGATAGAGGCTGAGGACTAAGAGCATGCTCTGTAAGCTAGTTAAGGGCAGGGCAGAGAGCAACCCTTCTTGGGCGTGTTGATGTGCATAGTTAATTTTTCACCTGGTGGAATTCTGTGTAACCATAACTGCAGTGGAATTCCTGGCCTTGCTAAAGTGTTGTTCGATATTTCCTCTCTAATACACCTTGTGGTATTTAAAGTAGATAAGCTCGGAAATATTCAACTAAATAGGCAGTTTCTAAAGTGCATTTTATTTCTGTGGTAAAACTTGCATTGTACGTGAAAGTCTCTCTTTTACTCAGCCTCTAATAAAACGTGTGTAGCTGAGCAGAATAACTTTGTGTGTACAGAGCACGTTCAGTAATCACCTTGCTTCATGTCTTGTTTAATTTTTGTTTCCTTCAGATAAGGAAAGAAACAATTGACCTTCTGGAAATGGGAATTATAAAGCTGTGCAGAGAGGATTCTGTGAAGCTGGGCCTCTTTTAAAGGTGTAACTTATGAGGATGAAATTTACAGCTGTATTTCACTTATCACTGTCTGTAATAGGCAACTGTTCAGTGGCTGACTGGATTCAGTTCTTCTGTTTCTGAGATGTTTGGCGGAAACGTGTATCTCAATGTTTTGTCTGCTTCTGGCCCTCTTATAATAAAGCAAAGGGTTTTAAGTAGATTCTGTACCAGAGATTGTTCTTGCATGCACAGTATGATATTGAAATAAGATGTATGTTGTATGTAAAACAGGAGATGTGGGTTCTCTACTACCATTAGGATACTGACGATGAGTGTACCTGTCCTGAGTGACTCCCACAGCTCCTTCTGGCTCCTTCTCCCACTCTCCCAAAGGGACACGTCACTGTCCCTCTAGGAGTGATAAAAGCCTATGCAAGCTCTGAACATTTCTGACCCCAAAATTCCCATCATTCTCTGCTGCCATTTGGATTTGGCCATTACCGAGACCAGTCCAGAGTTAGTCCGGACGTTTTAGCCATATCGTTCTTTAAGTACCTTATTTAGTTATCCCCAAAGCGTTTTCATGTGTTAGAGCGCTCTCATCCTCTATGAAACCTGTCACCAGAGCCCTCCCTTGGAAAGAGCAAATTGGCCCCATGCTTTGATAAAATCAGATTGTCCTAATATTTAGATCTTTGTCTTGCGTTCTGACTGATGTATGATCGGGACATCTTTTATCCCAATTTCAGGTGAGGAGGCATGTGGGCAAACAGGGTGAGAAGTGAATGGGGAGGCAAGGGGCGGGTGAGGAAGCAGGTGGACAGCAAGGAGGAGAGCAGCAGACAGGGACAGTGCAGGGGATGGAGGCCAAGGAGTCTAATGGGGAGGGGAGCAGCAGACAGGTGGGTGAGGTGGTGAGCTGCAGGTGGGAGGGGCTGAAGTGGTAGGCAGGTGGATAGATGTTGAGATGAGCAGCAGGTAGGCGAATGGGATGTGCCAGATGGACAGTGAGACTAACAGGTAGGTTTGTGAGGAGGGAGGCAGGTGGACGGTGAAGAGGAGAGCGACAGGAGGGGGGATGAGGCGGGTGCCAGATACATGTCGAGGAGACTAGTGGGCAGGCAGGTGAGGAGGCCCTTGACAAGTGAGTGGACAGTGAGGAGAAGGAGAGTGGCAGGTGGAGGGGAAAGGAGGTGGTGAGGACACTAGTGGGGAGACTGATTTGTCCAGTGCCCTGCACCCTCCTATGGAAGGCCCTGCCTGTCAATGCTGTATTTCATAAAGCTATATCCTGAAAATAACATTGGCTCTTGCACTCTCAGCACTGTTCATGCTCAGACAGGAAACTTTGGAGGCTGAGTGTTTCTTATGACAGAGCAATTACCATGATACCTACTGCATAAAAATGGTCTATTTGTGCACCTCTTATTCATGTAAGTAATCTCACCAGCTTCTGTGTTGCTCTTGTTAGGAAGCAGAAGCTGTAGGATCATGATGATAGTTGGGTTGGTGGTGCGCTTGCTTTTTAACTGGAATGGGGGGGGGACTTGACTACACATCTTGATTCATGTTTTTGCTTAATGAACTTGCCTAATGAGCTTCGTTTTAGGGCGCTTTTATATACCTAGCTAGCCAGTTCTATATTATTGAATATCGTTCAGAAGTGAGAAGTTTAAACCTCACTTAGTATTTACTTAGGTTATAACATAGCATGATTTGACCACAGCAGGATTGCAGGGGTCACAAAGTGCCATGAGGGAGGTCTGAAAGACAGCTCTCCACCTAGCAACACAGGCAGGTCAGAGTGGCCCGTCCCCAGATGCATTTTCCTATTTCTTGCTCTTTTCAGGATCTGATTCTCTCAGCAGTATAGAAAGTCCATATGAGTATTTTAAGAGTTGTTTTGGATTTGTTTGCTGATTTTTTTAATGCAACGGTTTGGCAGTTGGGTCCCAGTTTTGTCAGACTCTCCAGTGTCACTGCTTTCGGTCACCCTCCAGAGAGCTGGGCAGAGAGAGGCAGCACTTAATCACTAGTAGATTTTACCTTGATAGCCATCTTTTTGTGCTGTCCAAGATTCAGATTCATTCCCCAGCCCCTTTTGAAGGAAGAAATAGAACTATTGCATTTAAACAAGCTCTTCCAACCAAAAAATATCATTACATTCCTCCATTTGGCATGGAAAGGCTTAGCAGTGCCCTCAGATCACTTTAAATCACGTTGTGATTCCAGGAGACAGGGTTGATTTGTCATTAAAGAACAAAATTCCAAAGGAAGGAAAAGAGGCCAGGTCTAAAGTTTTGTTGGCATAGCTACCTTGGCCTGGCTTAAGTGTGAAACCAACCACACCAGATACCCATCTTCGCTATGCTAGCAAAAACTCTAGTGTAGGTGCAACTGTGTTGAAAGAAGAGCAGTTCTGTTAACATAACTAACATAGTTTGGGGACTGACAAAAGAACTTTTGTCTGCATTTGGGGTTTCTGTACTAATGAGTTCTGTACTGGCCAAGCATTTCTAGTGTAGACTAAAGCCCTTAGAAAAGAGAGGTGTAAGACCTGTTCTGCCACTTGACTTTACTCTTGTGTCTCACACTCTGAGATGACAAAGGCTGTACATCTTTCTAGAAGGAGGTAAGTACAAGTCCTACCACTCGCTCTCCCTGAAGAGACTCCTGTGACACAGGGACTTTTGCCTTTGATGTGCTGAGGCAGTTGAATAGTGTTTAGCAAACTGCACCAGTCTTCAGCAGATAACTGGTTTGTCAAACACTTTCTTGTTGTGTTCTGCTGGCTGGTCGAGTATTACGTGGTGAGTAACCCAGTATATTCCCCAAGCGTTCTGTTCTTTTATTGAATAGTAAGTTATACTTTTAAACTGCATTAAATTGAAAGTTGATTGTCTATTTGTTAAATTGTCCAACTACATAGACAATACACAGCTATTTATCCCTTTACATTGCTGGGGACTGAAGCCAGGGTAGCAGTTTGGGTGGTCGCGACAGTACAAATATTCTTCACCCTATCTTCTAGGGCTACGTCTACACTGGCATGATTTTGCGCAAATGCAGGCGCTTTTGCGCAAAAACTTGTTGCCTGTCTACACTGGCTGTGAGTTCTTGCACAAGAAAACTGATGTTCTAATGTATGAAATCAGTGCTTCTTGCACAAGAACTATGATGCTCCCACTCAGGAATAAGCCCTCTTGCGCAACTGTTCTTGCACAAGAGGCCAGTGTAGACAGGCAACGTGAATTTCTTGCTCAAGAAAGCCCAATGGTTAAAATGGCCATCAGAGCTTTCTTGCGCAAGAGAGCGTCTACACTGGCATGGATGCTCTTGTGCAAAAGCACATCTCTTGTAGATGCCAGTGTAGATGCTCTTTTCTGGAAGAGTTTTTGCACAAGAACTCTTCCGCAAAAGAGTTCTTGCGCAAAATCATGCCAGTGTAGACGTAGCCTTCATGTTATGTGATATTTTTTTCCTCAGAGGGAAGCAGTAGGAGTAAGTAGGGACAAAATAGAGGGATCCTGAAAAGTCACTGACAAGCAAACAAAACACTATTAGAATAACCTTTTCTATCGTTTGTCATATCAGGTATGTAACTATTTTATGATTCTAACTTCCATGGGATTTATTACATTGTGACTAAGGCGGTGACTGTTATATCTGTTACTGGTATTAGAACCTGAGTTTGACCTTTAAACTAATTGTGGGTGACAAAACACTCATGGCTGGATGTTAATATATTTACTAAATAGCATGTGTGCACTATGGCGTAGTAGCGTTCTAATACAATCCAGCTAATGTCGGACCAGGAAAGAATTAATCAGATCCACTTGTTTGTTCTTTTTATGCCAAATGACTATTTGCAGGAGAATAATACAAACCATGATTCACGAGAATGTTCAGAATTTGAGTCTTCCACTGGAAACAAGGGGTCCTGTGGCATTTTAAAGACTAACAAATTTATTTAGGCATTAGCTTTCGTGGGCTAGTGCCCACTTTGTCAGGTGCATCTGATGTCATTCCTACTACCCTTCATGAAATGAGCTGTATTTGCACCTCCGCTCTCTCTTTGGAAGCCGTCTTATCTTGAAAAGTGCCTTGTAAATAATAGTATCATGGAGCTCCATATTTGTCTCGCAGATCAAAGCTGCTCAGTTTACAAGTAAAAAGAGTTCTTGGCATACTGCTGGCCTTGCAAGCTCCGGTAGGAATCTGAAATCAAGAAGTGACTTTTCTTTCTTCTGAGTCAGTAGTGAGACAGTGCTGTTGCCTAGTGTTAGTGGCTATGGTGCTGCAGCAGTAGGACCCTCTTTCAAATAGACTTTAAACTGAAGCCCTGAACACTTGTGATGAGTAGAAATCTTATCACTCTTTTCAAGAGGTTTATCTGGTTTCCACAGCAAATAAAGTTTTTGTTACTAGAATTTTAGATAATTCTGATTACTGTGATGTCAGAATCCAATTTGCTGTCCCTTGGGTGTGTTGGCTCTATAGAGCATGTAGAGTAAAATACACTCATTGGACTAGTTGTGCTCATTGTGCTCAAAGTACAATAGAGGGAGGGGTGTACCAAAACAAGCACTGGAGAACTCAGAGGGTCATATCAACTTTCCAAATGCTGTGCCCTTACAAAAGGCATTGCAGTTTTTGCCTTGGGACTCATCCTATACAGGGACTCATTCAAGACGGAATCCTCTTGTAATCGCCATTCTTGCTTTTGCTAACACAGCTCTGTTTAGGGTGACTGTGGAAATAAAAGGAAGAGAAGGAGTAAGGGACCAGACTATGCACAGACATTTCAAGTAGCTGGCAGTACTCCTGCAAGCGATCAGCAGCTCAGAACCTAGTGGAACTTAAAAAAACTCTTTACAGTAGAACCTCAGAGTTATGATTTAACTGGCCAGTCATCCACACACCTCATTTGGAACTGGAAGAATGCAATCAAGAGACATCCCCCCCCCCAAAAAAAAGAGGAGGAGGAGGAAAACAGTAAATATAGCCACTACTGAGGAGGGGGGAGGAAGGGAAAGCAGCATTTTTCTTCTGTTTAGTAAAGTTTCCAAGCTGTATTAGATCAATTTTCAGTTGTAAACTTTTGAAAAATCCACCATAATGCTTTGTTCAGAGTTACGCACATTTTGGACAACCATCCATTTCCAAGGGGTTTATCACGCTACAGTTCTAGTGTACTAAGTGGGGCAGCGGAAGAAGACTCTTAGTAACTTTCCCAGAGTGTCAGTGTGTGTGGGATGCTGTCCCTGTAGCTGACTAAAGTACACCTGCGGCTGATAGCACCAGCTGATTAAAGTGATTAAGGTCACCAACGGACATGATGCGCTTGTATTGAGGAAGAGGTCTAGTTAATAAGTAATCCCAGGAAGTAACAAAGGATTGTAGAAACAATACAGCGTCCGACATCAGAGAGGCTCTCACAATTTTAAAACTAAGCTTAAGAACACACTAGATACCCTCACCCTCCACCCCCCCCCCAAAAGATACACTCCTCTCCAATAGCAACAGCATGAAAAATAAGGACAACCAAAGTGCACAGGAAAGTAACCCCAGATGTCCAGATAGCAGCGCATTTAAGCAACAGAAACTGCCAGCCTGGAAGCCCAAGCTCACAGCTTCAACTGTCCTCTCCAGCTTCTTTGTCATTGGACTCTTCTGCCTCCTTGTGGGAATCTGCCTAATATTATCTGCAAGAAGCGTCAACGAAATTCAGGTTTGTTTGGGATTATTTTCTTAATGAGTATTAATAGAGGGGGGCTCATGTTTGGGAGAAAATAACTGTTTGTGCTTCAGACCAAAGGGGTAGTGATTCTATCATGGATGTACTCAAATTAGCTCACAGTCCATCATGTGAAAGTGGTAAAAGTCAGCATTTGCTAATTTACCAGATGGAAATATCTGGCACATTGCCATTTGTCCCTGGGAGGAAATAAACTGTGGTAACTCTGATGCTGTTAGGCACTAGAAATATGTCAAATATTTGCCAAGCCAGAATTCTAAAACACAAAGAGATTCCTCATTTGTTAATCATGACTACTGCAAATAGAAAAGGTTGAAGGCCATTTTCAAAATGAAAGTTCTAGATTCAGTCCACTGACTTGTTACCTCCGATTACATTGTCCTTTTTGAGTGTTTAGAATTCTAGTGTTTGTGTAAATGACCGCGAATCTTTCAAGATTCATGGTCAACTCTAGCAAAAATTGTTACTGGGCTGATAAATTGGTTTAGAAGTTCATTATTTGTTCTTCTCTAGTTTTGAACAATTGTCATCCACGTGGGAAGCAGTACAATGCTATGAGTACCAGTCACACAGCCTAGATAATTAATAGAACCAGCAAACATCAGGATTGATTTGTGATTGACTTGTGAACAGGAAAGAAGGATAAATCTGCAATTTATAGTATTCCCAGTGAATAATTCAACCCGGTTTAGCTGTAATTAGGTAATTTAATATCAGTTCTATGGGATGTGTGCGTAATGTTAAAACACGGAATGATTTACATTTGGTCTCTCAGTGAATTATTTGGCCAGCACATGAGGATGGGCTTCAAGTTCTCTCTTCAAACTGCTAAAGCACATTGCCATCTGTGATACACATACTGTATATATCACCCTCTAGAACTGACACGTACAGCCAGATTATTGCTTTGGAGGTGGAGGTGGGGGCGGGGACAAAACAAAATAGTACAAGGTCTTTTGCGTGGGACAGTTACCTTCTAGGAAAAAAATGTGGCTTGTTTTTCCATTAGGATGGTCTCACAACCCAAACTGGGCCTCTTACCGTTTGTAGTCTAAGTATGCACTATAATGGACACAATATAAAAATAAAAAGAAATTGTCGGCCCTCGTTATACATTTTTGCTAAATGTTAAAGTAGCAGGGTATTATTTTTGAGTTGTGAAATGCACTTGTTTTGGATAAAAGATACAAAATAAGTGCAAACTATTAAACACAATTAAAAATAATGCTCTTTTCTATATAGATTTTGCCTGACTCTCACTCATGCTCTGCTCTCTTTGTGCTGCTCAGGTGGGACAAAAAAAGCAGAAACTGGTTTCATCCCCCACACTTCAACTGGGGATTTCCCTATTTGTTTTTTGTTTGCTAAGGATGCCCAGTGAGGCTGTGTCCAGACTCGAGGGTTTTTCCGAAAAAAGTAGCCTTTTTTTTAAAAAACTTCCCCTGCGTCTAGACTACAGCCGCGTTCTTTCGAAATTAAATCGAAAGAACGCGGCTTTTCTTTCGACGGCGGAAAACCTCATTTCACGAGGAAGAACGCCTTTTTTCAAAAGTGCTCTTTCGAAAAAAGGCGTTCTTGAATGCAAACAGGGCTTTTTCGAAAGAGAGCATCCAGATTGCCTGGGTGCTCTCTTTCGAAAAAGCGGCTTGCTTTTTCGAAAGTACTGCTTGCGGTCTAGACGCTCTTTTTCGAAAGAGGCTTTTTCAAAAGTCTCTTTCGAAAAAGCCTCTTTCGAAAGAGGCTTGCAGTCTAGATGTAGCCCCAGTGCTGCGACAGCATAAATGGCTCCTATAGCAAACTCCCTGCAACTCTGGATTAGAGGGGAGGAATCCCCAACACTCCAGACCTTGTTATCTGTCAGACAACCTATGGGGATGGTTACCATCTGACGGAATTCAGGTCAGCCTTCAGGCCAGTCTGAACTCCTTCCAGGCTGGTAGAAAGCTTGCTAAAGAATCTGGGTAACATAAGAATTGGACCTCCGGTGGGATATTAGGCATAACAGGGAACCTAGCTCTGTATACTTACCCTCTTTGTTGGAGTATGAATCACAGTCGGAGCTTTCACTCTCAGACCATCTGTCTGGCTGAGAAGGGCAGGCACCAAGCTATTTGAGCGTCTGTGGATTTATCACATTGTGAGACCGGTGGAGTGCTATAGAACAGGGCAAGGCACTGCCCTCAGATGGGTGAGGGTACTGGCCCCTCAGGAATCAGCACATAAGTCTCATGAACAGGATTTAAGTTAGGGGTCGGATTTTTCAAATGTGTCTTTGAAAAGTGGCTTCTAAGTCCCGCTGACGTCCAGTGAGATTAGAGTTGCTAGGTGTATAAGTCGCTTTGGAAAAATAAGACACAAGTTCCAGAGTTTCTTTTGGGCTTTTGAAATTTTTACCCCTGGTTACGTGCATGCCTGCCTCAAGCAAGCCTGAAGAGAAAGGACTGTAGACCCTGAGAGCTGAGAGTCCAAGTGGAGTTTTGCAGCCTAATGTTTGCACGTTTCTTTCTTTGACAGATTGACTATTCAGATGTATGTCTGAATTGTTCAAAACTGCGTGAAAGCTCCTCTAACTGGGATAAAGAATGCAACTGTTTCGCCCACTTCACTCTGCAGGAAAATATGCCGGTAGGTAAATGTGTGGAACCCAGCATAGACTAAAGTTCCTATGTTTCTGTATGTGTAAGTAGTATACATTTTGCCCTTTAAATGACACTAAGCCAGTTCCTGAAGGGCTTTATATCAATATCTTTCACAAACCTACAGCTCTTTATACCCAAAATATGTCCTTTTAACCATTGTTGCTATTCGTTTTGTAACTCCCATAAATTAAGCAAGATCAGCTACATTAATACTTAGACTAGAAACCTCCCAGCTGAAAATCAGAGCTGAAAGAAGTGCTGTTGATTCAAGAGGTGACTTCTCTTTCTTCTGAATCATTCGTGAGTCATTGCCTTAGTAGTGACCCAGTGCCACTCCCTGGTGTTAATTGGTACTGTGCAGTTGGGTAGGACCTTCTTTCAAACAAGACATAAAACTGAAGTGCTGGCCACTTTTAGTCAGTTAAACTCCTCCAGCTATTTCCACAAGTTACAGTGTTAATTGTCCAGTGTTCTAGGACAAAGCTAGTGATTTTGTTCTTCAGTTTCAGTTGGAAAAGGCATTCGGCATTTCCTGTGCTACACTGCTGGGTAACGTTGTTTTGTGCTGTTAAAGCAAACCTTCTGTTTTGTCCTAGGGGAGGGAGGGTGCATTTCAGTAGTGAATAAAGTGATCCTTTAAAGTTTAAACTGTTTGTTTAAATTTATAAAGCAGTTTTAGGATTTTTCAGAGTAAAGGGGCTATAAAACATTAGACGTGAAAATCCCTCAGCCATAAGAATGGGTTGAGATTTGAAGAACATTTGAAATGAAAAGTAAAAATGTCAGTTTCTCATATTGTATGTATAAACTGGTATTTCTGCTGCTTGTATTAGGGCTGGTCTGTAGATTCAAGAACACTTTCAAAAGAACTAAGGGCTTGTCTACATTGCACTGCAAACAGGCCAATGGGGGTGTGAACTGCAAACTGCTCTAACATGTTGCTCTCTATCTAGCCCTTGTAGACCTGGATGGTGCAAATTAAAAGTTATCTACCGAGCATTAACGTAATACTGTGGACTAAGCCAGTGCATGGTGTGCGGTACTGAAGGGGTCATTAGAGCACTCTGCAGTTCACATCTTCATTGATTGGTCTTTGGCACCATGTAGACAAGCTTCAAGTCTCCTTTTCAATAGGGACTTAGGAGCCCAAAGTGCCTAGGTCACTTTTCAAAATAATAAGATTTATACTCCTAACCTGGTAAGCATTTTTGAAAATTTTACCCTCGATCTATATCACTTCAGTGAAGCACAAGTTCTAACTTTACTTTACATTTATTTATTTTTTAAAAATGATAATTGCATTTAATAATCTTAACATAGTTAGAAAACTGTGGGTCCAATCCTGCAACCTTTACAAATAAAGAGACTGTAACCTCAGTAGAACTACTCAGACATTTCCAGAATTACAGCCAACAGTGCCACTTTAAACAAAATTTCTTGCTTGGGAAATCATGGTATTCTCTCCAGGCTCAATCCACAAGCCCAAGGTAAGTGACTGTTTCTGGTAAAATAGTTAGCTGAAATGTTAACAACACATCCATCTGGCTGTCATTCCCTCCTCCCCTCTCCTCCCCACTATGTTTTTTTAAAACAGTTTGTTAAAAAGACCTATATTAGTTATGTTCTCCTCATCCTATGTTATTCTCTTTTGTATTCTAGGGTGATATTTTTATGTACTATCGCCTGCAAAACTTTTATCAGAACCATCGTCGGTATGTTCTCTCCAGAAGTGATGCACAATTGCTAGGCCAAGATGTAAATGTAAGTTATTGTTACAGCATCAATATTTTCATCGGGTGGGGTTCTTAGTGTGTGGAGAATTACCTTAGCCTCGTTTAGGCTCACAATGAGGGAATCTGGATGGCTCTGGGGAATTGTAATGAGACAAAGCATTTGACTATTAGGTCCTTCTCCTGGTTCTTCAGTGGCCCATGTGAAATGAGCTAGTGAGAAAATGATGATGTCTTTGTAGAGAGGGAGGATTAAAGCATGGGTCTGAGAGTTGAGGTCTGGATTGTATTCCTGTCTGTGCCACAGACTTGCTGTGAACTTGGGAAAGTCACTTTGCTGCTCTGTGCATTAGTTTTCTCATTGGTAAAATGTGGATAAGACACAACAGGACTTCATTCACAGGAGTTTTCTTGGCACTTTGACATCATCTGGAAGAAGGTGTTACAGAAGCACAGATTATTTATTATTGGTGGCCCCAGTGGACTAATGTCTTCTTGTCCCTAGAAATGGGCTGTCCAGTTCATGGTTGGGGGTATAGCTGAGGAAACATGGGAAAGGTTGCACTGCAACTGCCCGTACTGCATTGTTTCTGTGGATAAATAAAGGCTATCAGCTGACACTCCAGAGAAAACCTTCATCTTTTACAACACTAACTAGAAAGGAATAGTAGCTTAAAACAAGAGCGCACAAGTGATGCTTATCAACTTCAAAGTCATGTCTGTTGGATGGTATTTTTAGTATGGGCTAGGGAATTATTCTGAATTGACCTATTTCTTATCTCTCTCACTCTTTCGGAGGAGCAGTTGGGTAGGAAGTATAGGGTCGGGAGGAAAAGGTTGTGACTTCACCATTCAGAAATGGATAATGAGAATTTGATATGTCGTAAGATCGCAGCACCTACAGCTTGACTATAGAGGAAATAGACTAAAAGTAGCTCTGTAAATGAGAGTCATAAATCTGTGCCCCATTTCTCTGGTTAAAAAATCATTTCTAGTCTTACACCTGCCTTTGGGTCTTTCTAACTTTTTTTTGGTTTTACAACCACAGTTGCCTTTTAAAAAAATGTTTCTCCTCTGTTGCTGTGTAATTTCAGATCACCAGAGTTCCTCCTGGGGTGTCTTGTTCCAACAAAGCCCCTCTATTTCCCCTCTAGGCTAGGCTGTAATTATAAAACAGACCTCAATATTTTTATTCCTCAGTTTCTTTAAATTTTGAAGCTCTATATCTGGGCCATCTCAGTTGTGGGCAATAGGAAATGTGGTCAGCTCCCTGGGGCTAAGTTCCCTTTCTCAGCTCTTTAGTGAGTGTCATCTCCTTGAGGTTAGAAGGCACTATAAGCCTTTCTGCTAACCTTTCCTACTTAGCACAGTTTGCAGAGATGTTGCAACGCTTCGGTATTAAGTACATTCGGTATTCTAACTTTGATAACATAAATGATTTGATTGTCTTAGAAGTTGTAACATGCGAACAGGGAAGCTGTCCTAAGCTTAGTGCCTGGAAAAAGAGTTTTGATATGTGCTTCGAGGTCTCTACAGATCACCATTGCTGAGAATTGTTAGCATTATTGAAGGTTTGCTAGCAGTTTTAGACCCAATTTACATGAGTTGGGGACAGAGCTATATGGCATTTGTCGTGGGGAATTGATGACACCTAGCCATTTTTTATGCATGTCTTCAATCCATGGTAAAGGCTTAAATAAGTCCAGTGTTTAGCTGAGTTTGGGAATACAGTTAAATGTCCTGTCTGTGCTGAAAAATGGAACCACCTGAGTCAGGGACTATAACATTGTAACTCGCTGTAATTGTTATTTGTAGTACTAGACTAGATGGGCCCTGAGTGCTGAACAGTCAGCCTTTGAATGCCAGGCCCCTTGAAGGAGTCTCAAATGGAGTTCCGACAGACTGAGACAACCAAAACCATTTTTTAACAGATCAGCCTGCCCTTACAGCAGCATTAAGGCCCATTGTTACAACATCACTGTAGCACAGCTGTGATTATACCATGGACTTCCACTGCAGATGGGACAAAGCCTTTTTATAATCCTGTTAACAGACCTAAGCTGCTTTTTCCGTGTTGCATGCATTCCCTTGTCTGGAAAATATGAATAGGAACAGAAAGAAGACCAGAGAAAACAAGTCTCTATTGTTTTCAATATGTTTAGTTTCTGCATAAACACCTTCATAATTTCTCCTGTGTAGTCAGTTGGTTTTCCCTGTTTGGGTGGATTTGTCACACAGCAACAGTCTACCTATGCTGGGAAGTATGCTCCCAGCAGCTGTATAGACATAACCCTCAGTCCACTAGACCACAGCAGGTAAGTCTCACCCTAGTCTCGTTCTATTTGGGCCCATCACTAATGTAATTGGAAAGCACTGGCAACGCCTAGCACTCTTGGGTATTTGGTGCTTTTGTTTTTGGAAGGGGTTTTTGTCTTGCTTGTTTGTTTGCTGAAAGAGGGAAATAAGAGTAAAAGACTGACCAAAAGAAGTTGATCTGGAAAAGACATTTCTAATTGTTCTTTGACCTTGAGTTCAGATTCAGAACAGCTATTGTGCACCTTTCGCAACCTATCCAAATGGAACTCCAATGGCTCCCTGCGGCGCCATCGCCAACAGTATGTTCAATGGTAAGTATCTTCCACAGCTGATATATTCACCTGCACAGAGGTAGTCAATTTAAATATCTCTGTGTCCCTGAGACCTCACAGAGCCCTGTCTAAGTGCTGATCTTCGCATGTTCTCTGATCCGTACATCTCTGTCTCTCTCTCTCTCTCTCATATATGGCTGTTAAACCATTTGCAGGTGATATAGCACCCTGATTGCTGCACTGCAATGACTTCACTTACATTACTAGTGAGACTCCATGCGAGTGCAAGAATTCGCCCAGATGATCTGAGGAACTGTGGAATGTGTATCCTAGAAAAAGAGGAAGACAGTATTTTACAGACTGAACCTTATATTCTTCCTATCTTGACAACAGGCTATGGGGCTACGTCTAGACTGCCGCTTTTTATCGGCAAAAGGTATGCAAATTGTGCTCCGCAATTTGTGTACCTTTTTCTGATAGTTTTGTCAGAAGAGGCTTTTCTGAAATTTGGCCTGTCTACACTGAGCCAAATTTCAGGAAAACCTCTTTCAGAAGAGCCCTTCTTCCTTGTGGCACGAGAAAGATAGGGCTTCTGAAAGAACTCATCTGCCCTTCTGCAAAAAAATGTTTGTATCCCGGAAAAACTCTGTGGTCTAGACATTGCCTGGGTGAGCCTGAAAAACTCGACTTCTACAGGTTGGACCTCCAAAAACTGGGGCTCCCTCATCCAGTAACATCCATGGTCTGGGACCAGGGCTGGAGCCCTGGTAGCACAGCTGGGGCTGTGGCAGCCCTGGTAGCTGGGCCAGGGCCAGGGCCAGGGATGCGGCAGCCATGGCAGCCCC